CTCAGTCATTGTATTGCGTGGTTACGTGTTATTAGTGACTAGATCAGATAAGATCATTTGACTTATGAGTCATGTCGAGGAGTCATATCGGTCATACTCTAAAAGAGTCAAGAGTTGTAATAATTTAGTAATTTGACATTTTAAAAGTTCTGATTATCTTCATGTTGTCAGATGTACTTGTAGACTAAAAACTTAGGAGATGCAGAGTAGATTTACGGCTCGTCGGCTACTATAAATTGTGAACTAAACAATTTCTGGAATTGCATCAAATACCTAGTGTATATTTAAGAGCAGAATGAGGTCGCCAGTCTATGAATGCCTATTCATAAGACAAGCGAGAAACCACGAGAGATTACCGCGAGAAGATAACAATCCTAGAGATTACAAAAAATAGCTGGTGAAATCAAAAAATCGTATGATCAGAAAATGCATTGAATTATCATTGTGTGTTGTTAGGGCTATGATAATCTTGTGATTAACGACTAACGAGTCTATAAATACACAATCTCCAAGAATAACAAACTTTCTGTATACAAAGTAACAGCCACAGCAATGTAAGATTGGATCGAGATATCGGAAATGAAACATTAATTTGATAATTTAACCGTCAAATACCTTACCCCCACATACCGATGACCCAAGTCCTCAACGATCTATAGATTTGCCTCATATCCGATGTCTAACATAAACCAGTCACCAGTCACCAGATGCCATGTGTACCTCTAAATTCGAATCCCTGGCAGCGTTCCAAAATACGAAAATAAGAATTCAAACAGTTCCGACACACGAGCCAACCCGCGCTATACGGCCGCTCTATAAATAACTCACAAACTTAATTATACACGAAGAGCAAGTACACAAACTACTACTCATCTTACAGAATTGCAGGCGGTGCAGAGATCCCATTATATCCAAATAAGGACTAATTAGAACCCATTAGTGGCTATATTAGGGATGATGCCGGTGTCGTTAGCTTTATTAGGACTAAACGTTGCTCTGCTCCAGGGTTAATGGCTATCTGCACTCTTGTTAAGAGTACAATGAGGGGTCTAGTACAGGGGAAGTGAGGGTTGTACTTGGTTAATTACCTGCACCGGTACAATACCTGAACAACCTGGAGGCTGGATCATCTGGGTCCTGGTTATCTGACAAGTGACAAGGTGAGGACACATTATTGATGGGATGGAACATAGACAGATGAATAGATAACAGAGAGTATAATGGTGACTTGTTAAATATAGATAAGAGAAGATGGTGAAAGACAGATAAGTGAAGGTTGTACAGCTGCTTGAAAACTGGTAGAAGAAGGACGGTTGTTTGAATACAAATGTGGGTTTGAATTAAGTAGGACATCTGTTTGATATCTGATAGGCTCCGAAGTCCGAATTGTAACTCGTGCTAAATCGTCACTCAGGAAGTTAAACAAGGCGGGAAATTAAATACTACGCATATTCATCATATGTAACATTCCTTTATATTGATACTTAGGTGTAAATAAAACGCAGAACAGTAACACAGAAATAGAATGATATCCGTCGTGCCCCTTTTTGTTTTACTTCCTCAATGACGATTTTGGGTGGATGACGTCTTCGGGGCTAGGGCCTAAAATATTAGCGACAAGAGAAACGCCATCGTTAGATGACGTGAGGAGAGCGAGAACTTCTCAAATATGTCATTTTAAGTGCCGGAATTAATGGATTTCAGGGGAAAGTAGGGTGAAACTAAAATGAGACACGGTTGATGAGTTAAGAAAACTCTCCGGTACGAGGTGAGGAAATGAGGGATCATTGGTACCAGGTACCTACACTGATCCTGTAATCCTTTACACTTACAGTGGGACATCAGCTCATATTAGATTGCTTCTGGGATCATTTGCTAATTCGAACTGCACCTCCAATGCACTTCCGCTGGAAAGTTCCGACTGATAGGTTTGTCTCATATTAAGCGAGCTTGTACGTGTGGTTTTTATTCACATATTTATTTGATTTTATTTTTATATATTATTGATCATATTATCTCATATCAATTTATTATTGATCATATTATCTCATACCTTACAAGACTTATTCATAACGTACGAAATGCGACGGTTTTCCCGAAATTTCGCCATATTTTCGGACCGCCAAAATTTCGGTCGTCGTAATAGAATCCGTCGCATTATTTTTAGCTTATTCCAATAATTGTGGCTTCATCGATTCATTTTGTTCTTAAAAAGTTAGTGATATGATGGTGGGACAAATAAACACAATATTCCATGATGAATTTTATGTCAAGTAATACGTTTTAAATTTACAATAAATTACATTTATGTGCTAATTTTTAATTTATGTGCTAACGTCTTATAAGAGACTAAGTCAAGATAAACAATTTAATACCAAACTCAATAAGTGAAACTGATAGAGTCGAGCCGGATTCCTTAGAGGAAGATGAAGAAATCGATTTATAAGTTTCATTTTGTTTCAACATGATTTTACCGATTTTTAGAAAATTTTGAATTTCCTTTGTGTCAGAAAACAAAATAATGAAAAATACCCTTATTTTCTGTGACGTCCGAAATGTGACGGTTTTTGTTCAATTTCGCCATATTTTCGGACCGCCAAAATTTCGGTCGTCGCAAATTGGTCCGCCACAAAAATGTCTTGTAAGGTATCTGTTTCGTCTACACCCAGTTTTTTTTTCTTACGATCAGCTCATTTTCCTACATTTTCCTGCTTTTGTCAGTTCAAACCCTGACTACATAACATGTACGGTTGTGTCTTAATTGTTAATTACAAGCACTAATTAGATGCTTTTAAGTCGTGGATAATGTAAGTACCGCGTTTTACGTGTTTCAGATATTCCTTTTATTTTGTAATCAGTAACCTTGCTTTTAAAATAGTATTAGTAGGTACCAAATGGTCTGTCACGACCTTTTGAACTTTGGTCCCATGGTCATGCAAGCATTTCCATCGCTGCCGCAATCGATATCAAACTTTATTTTTATTAACTTTTTTACATTTTTAAGTTGGAACTGCCTACCGGACACAGCCTAACGCCATAACTCAAAGGATTGTCCATCAAAAACAGTCTGACCCCCCATTTGTTGAAAACTTAACTCTTCGCTTGATCAAACAACTGCAAAAACAGTTAACTGCTAATATTACTCATCAGTATAATCATGTTTGTAGGAAAACTGGTAAATGCAACAGCTGTAAAGTGCAAGCGAGGACTGGTTAGTGGAGATGCTGGTGCTAATAATCTGCGTAATCCTACTTCTCTGCTGCTCAGCAGGTAGTTATAAAACAGCAAATATTTGTATGAGTATACTTTTAAATGGTTCTCATAATTCTATAACGATTCAAAACTTTATTTGACTAAACTGTTGGATATTTAGAAAGTATGAATATGAAAATGATACTAACTTTAAAATTTTTAGAATTGGTTTTCGATATAAAAAGAACTATTTAACTTTCCTATAATGTTAAGATAATCAGATATTTTAACACTCGTCACTATCAGACCCACCATGTGATCCGGGACAGTACTTTGACAGTCAACAATGCAGTGACTGTAAAGTTGACACTTACAGTCAACAATGCACTGACTGTAAAGTTGACACTTACAGTCAACAATGCAGTGACTGTAAAGTTGACACTTACAGTCAACAATGCAGTGACTGTAAAGTTGACACTTACAGTCAACAATGCAGTGACTGTAAAGTTGACACTTACAGTCAACAATGCAGTGACTGTAAAGTTGACACTTACAGTCAATGAGGACTCGCTCTGTCCTGCACTTCCTGTACTCCTGGAAAAACTGTCAGATCTGGATCTGGGACAAATAAACTGGATTGTGAACCATGGAGTGGGTTTAATTTTGAAAAAGTTTGTTGTGAATCAGAAGTTGTCATTGTTAACAGACCGACCCGACGCAAGCTAGTTCGCAGCGCTTTGCCTGAAATATAGACGCGACGCGTATCATCCGTCAATAGGAATACAATTCAGAAGCTGTGAAATCGAGTTAAAATGATATTATTGCGAGCCATAATTTGGCAGAACGGCGGACGGCTATTGCCTTTGGTTTTGTTACTATAATATTGTGTCACTCACACTGACCTCACTGATTGATGACTGGTCAAATTCAGCCAAAAGTGTCAGAGGTACGTTTGCCCATTGACTGATTTTATTTCAGGTCGAGGCCAGGAAGCTCCCAATCTCACCCCACTCCCATTCAACGCTCCGAGCTGCCTTTTAAAAGTCACCACTACGTTCCAAGTAGATCCAAGAAGTCCTGATACATGGGAATGGGATGGAGACATCATGTTCAGAGCTGGTGATCAAGAGATCTTAATGGTGGGGCTACATCCTCAGCGAGGTCAAGTAGCCGTCAGGAACTCTGTGTTTCAAAGAGGACGAGAACAGTGGGGGTTCAAGTGGATTTTAGCTGACTTTCCGAATAGAAACCGGGACGGGGAGAGGAGGTATATCTTCGAGTTTAACGAGAGGGATTTCCTGATCTGGTGCTCTGGTGAGGTGAGTTTACTTTGAAGAGAATTGAGATAATTTCATTAAGATACTTTATGATGGTATCGGCCATGTGGAGGTGACATACATTTTTCCTTAGAATAACTAAGATTATTCTTAGAATAAGTATTCTATAAACATGGGCTGATAAATCATACGGGCTTCCAGTTCCAATCCAATTTACTTACATGTTCACTAAATCGGCAAAATGGGCATGGGCGGAAGAGTCAAAAATATTGTAACGATTTCAGTCGTTTCAATTTTTTTCATTTTTGGTGACTTTTTATTGACAGATTACCACAGATATTTGACAAAATTAGACTCCAATTTGCAATTTTGCCTCGTTCTTAAAAAAAGCACAAATAAAAAATGTAACAAAATACAAATCTCGTGGAACTGTTTTCTCTAAATATAATTTGTATAGTATTACTATGGATCAAACGTCTGAACTTTAAATTCAGAATGGCAAGCTGCAAGCGACAGTTTTTATATTAGAATATTATGTTCTTTTTAAGTCGGCTTTCGTCAAGACTCTCGTTGAAGTAAAACACTAGTCTTTGTATGGAACGATCCTGAAATTATTACTTTTTAGTTAACACTGAACAAGATAAAATAGTTTACAGAAGCCTTAAGGTTTATAACTTTATTAGGCTCTAATGGCCTAATGCTTTTACCCGTCAAATTTCATAATTTCAACCTGAAATAAACTACAAACCTTGTCCTTGAGTTTACAGAAATTCCTTGTGTGGATTAAGAATACTACCACAGCAACTTTGTCTTGGGATCAATTAATTTAAGATGCTGAATTTCTCATTTTTAACACATTAAATTATAAATTCTAAACAATCATCGTCACAAAAAATTGTAGTTTGTCGGAGATAAAGACAATAATCGTCTTTACCTCGGGTATCTCCTTAAATTTATTGTCCTTAATCAAATTACTTGTTATCGTCAACTTCTTATATCTTGCCCAAAAAATATAAGAAGTTTTGACACACGTTTTCATAAGATTACACCAACTGCAGATCAAACTGATTTATATGAAAATGAGTTTATTGGTTACCTATTACCCTGCAATCTGGCTTTGTGTCATAACTGAATTCCTCCCCACTGACACATACCACGTGCTCTCCTCCGAGTTGGAATGTTCCTGCAAAACACGTGACCATCGATTGTGCACCCTCGTATGCCGGGAGGGAGGGGCTGAACATGTTGGGGAGGTATGTCTCGTCAAACCCCGTACACTCTGGCGGATAATTGTCATGAGGTGGAGCAGTTATAAGAAGTGATTAGTTGTGTTGGACTAAATTGAGTTTCATGTAAAAATTAAAGTTCATTAATTACAGAACAAAGTAAAAACTCACGCAGTACACAATCCGGTTTCTCCTCAAACTCCCATTGGTTCCCACTTGTGCACGTGACCTCACTGCCTCCTTTGTTGACCCGGGTTGCTTTACACTCCACTGTTACTTTACTTCCAGCGTCTATTTCCTCCCCGGCACTTGATGGCTCCACATGGTTCCAGTCGCTTGGGTACTCTGTACATGGATCTGAAATTAATTAGTTTTTACTCGTCTGGTTGTCCCCTTTATGGTGGTTTTTTGTCGTTTTATTACGTGCAAATCATAATTTGTATCATAATGTTGAAGAGATACAATTAAAAGTGATAAATTTCGAACAGTGTAACCCCAAAAGGCCACTCACCTAGTTGCAATCGAAAACTTTTGGATATGTCATCTTTAGCCCCGAACTGAATGACATTCGTGGCATGAACTTCACTCATCAGGCAGGCATCTTCACAAGAGGTCACTAATTCTCCATCGAGAAGAAACTCGATATGCGCATTGGTAACCTTGATAGTCCAAATACCAGTGTCACTGTTTTCGATCTCCAAGTCATTCTTTTCAGTATCAGGACAAGATGCTCTCATGGTGATTGGTATGAATTTATTTCCTATCACGTCTATTTGAAGATTAATTTTATCAGTGATAATATCACCTTGTCCCCTTTCACTTAGTATGATAATGAAATCGTCATGAGTTTCAGCAGTTATCAACTCAGTTTCTACTTGGAAGGTATACGGGATATCTGGCACTGATATTCTCGAGCCTCTTTCCACATTTTGCCACTCTGAAAATCAGTTTGTTTTAAATCTGACCAAATACTTATAGGTAGAGCTCAAAAGTTGAATTATAATGCTGAATAAAAACTTTTAAAAATTAGACATTAAAACGTAGATTTTCAATAATACCCCTGGCAATAAATATAATATTTTTAACCTTTCGTAGCGACTAAGCTCTTACATCCTCTGAAACTGCTTAGCAGAACTAGTAGTAGTACTAGTGGCAGTGCACCCCCAGCTGTAGTGCACCCCCTAGTAGTCTTATTCGCCACATGATCATTTACATTTCCTTTCTTCAACGCGTTTTCTAAAATGTGACGTTTAAATTGTATTATCTAAATTACATTAGCCATTACTTCCAGCATAACACTTGACTTGACTTACTGACTTGACTTATGGCGGGTAGTATTCCCGAGATCCATTGACAACAGTTCTCCACAGCTTTCTGTCCTCCATCAGTCTAGCTATCTCATCTACTGATTTCAGCCCAGTATCTGCTTTTAGGTTATCTAGTAGTGTTAGGTAAGGTCGCCCCCTATTAGTATGCCCATGACTCGGCTTCCAGAGGATCAGTTTGTTCAGTGTCAGCTCCGGATGTCGGTGAGCATGACCTGCAAGTCTGAGCCTTCGTTGGGTTATCTTGGAGCTGACTTTAGGAAGATCACCGTACAGACTGTGGTTGCTGACATGGTCTCGATATTGATTGATGTTAAGGGCCATTCTTAACATTCGCGTATAGCAACCATCCACCATCTTCTCTAGCCTTTTCGTCATAGTCCAAGTCTCAGAACCGTATAGAAGCACCGACTCGACTAGTGCTGTGAACACTCTGGTCTTGATAGACTTTCTAAGGTTAGATTTCCAAAGTTTTTTGAGAGTGTGGCATGCTCCCCATGCTCTTCCTTTCCTAACCCTGATATCACTCTCACTGTCTCTGATTCTAGAACCAAGATAGGTAAAGTCTTTCACGTGCTCTATTGTGTTGTTACCCAGGGACTTGATGGTATCAGGGTTCTCGATGTTCTGGGTAATGAATTTGGTTTTCCCTTCATTCATTTTAAGTCCCACTGTAGCAGAAACTCTTTCTACCTCCAGCATCAGCATCTCTGCCTCCTTTACAGTATCTGCTATCAGAGCAATGTCATCTGCAAAGCCAGTGTCTGTTATCTTCTCCGCCTTGACTCTCCTACTCCGATAAGGCTTAATGGTAAATCCTATTTCAGGATGCTTGCTTAAGGCTTGTCTCATGCAATAGTCAAGGGCTATAATGAACAAGTATGGTGCTAATGTATCCCCTTGAAGAACTCCTGCCAGGATATCAAATAGCTCGGTATCCCCATCTGGTGTTATAACTTTGCCCTTCGTGTTGACATAGAGAAGATTAATGATATCTACAATACTGTCCGGTATTCCATAGGCCTTTAGTATTTGCATCAAAATTCCCCGGTGAAGTGAATCAAAGGCCTTCTTAAAATCAACAAACACCATAGCTACCGGTAAATTTCTCTGTCTAGCCCCCTCTAGAATCCTTCTGAGTGCCAAGATGTGACTAGTAGTGGACCGTCCTTCCCGAAAACCATTCTGATTGTCCCTAAGTACCCCCTCTATAGCCGGCTGGATCCTATTAAGCACCATTCTATTAAGAGTCTTAGCTACGAGAGAAGTCAAAGATATCCCCCTCCAGTTTCCAGGGTTGGTCAAGTCTCCCTTTTTGGGAACCGGGATGATGTTACTTATCCTCCACTGATCTGGCGCAATACCATCTGTCAGGGCTTTGTTGCAGAAGGACAGCACGATTTCATCCAGGTCGCATCTTTTGAGGACTTCAGGAGGTATGCCGTCATCACCTGGTGCTTTACCTTCTTTTATCCTGTGTTTAGCAGCTTTAAGCTCATCCACAGTAAAAGGTTCTGTACTGATGTTGAGTCCTTCAAATTGAGTCTCGATCCTAGGATGTTCGTTTTCCACATCCGGTATACTCCCTAACAGATTCGTGAAATGCCCAAGCCAATTTTTCTTCCTTTCTTCGGCTCCGTTGCCCCTTATTTGAGTTGCCCCCTTGGCCTTCCTGCCAGTTATCTCATTTATGACATTCCAACTTTCTTTGTTTTTGCATCTGTCTGCAGCCATTTCGACCCTTCTAACCTTGGCAACTAGATCTTCTTCAAAGATGTCCTGGTACACCTGATCCAGTTCAGTTTTTAGTAGCTTAACAGACAGTCTACTGTCTTCACTAGGATCCCGGTGATAGACAGTCTCTGCTTGCTGCAAGGCTGTACGCACGCTTTGAACTCGCTGATCACCCACGAAATCGTCACGTCTCTTCTTTTCTCTCTTAGGCAGTATGGCTTTGTTGGTATCAGCAATCGCATCAACAAAATGCCCATACAGTTCCGTAACCTCACTTTCATCGGTTTGCTCGCATAAAGCAGAGTACCGATTCTTGACTTCTACTGCATATCTCTTCTGTAGGTCTTCATCCGATTTAAGTGCTCCCCAATTATACCAGGTTTTCTTGGGTTGCTTTTTTGCTCGTCGAAGAGATAGCTTGATCTTAGACAAAACAAGTCTATGATCAGTACCCAGTGTACTAAAGAAGCTGTAGACTTCAGTATTTTTGACACTGTTCCTCCACTTCTTCCTCACTAGAATAAAGTCTAACTGAGACTTATTCAGGGTTCCATCCGATAGGTGAGTCCACATCTTACCCCGCTTCTTTCTGAACCTGGTGTTTGTATAACACGGTTAACTGAAATTACTGATAAAGCTATTGATACTAAAATATAAAAGGTATAAACTGGGTGGAAAACTAGATAGAATGCCCGAATGTTGGTTGTATATTGTTAAAGAACTTTATCTAATGTAATGAAGTAACTTCAAAAATGAGCAGCTAGTATTTCAGTCGGTGTATTGCCATGTTATAAAATAGAAATAAGTCGTTATTGTAATCTGTTGGGAAATAGACAAGAAAACTCGCACTGATGATTGGACACAAATCTGCACCTGTTTGTAAAAAGAGACAAACAAACACCAGGACTAGCACTTATAAGGGGGCCGGGGGTCTACATTTGGATAAAGACTCCTCCCCCCCCTGGCTCCCTTAATACTTTAATATAGATATCTCTAGCAATGTTTAATGTTTATAAGGAGCCGGATGTATATACGTCAATCGCCGATTATCTACGCTAATCATGCAGCCGCTGGTAAAGGAGCTGTACTTGTTAAAAATTAAGGACGTTAAGACCTAAGAAGATAAATGTATTACAGCAAAGTGTTATCAAGTTATTACCTAGGTGTTATTAAGTTATTACTCCTGGTTCAGAAACAACAATGATTTGCATTTACGAGGTACATTTAATCTAACGTAATACATTAATGAAAGATTACTACAAAGAGGAGGATTAACTGTCAGGAGTCAGGACTCAAAGTTAAAGCTAAAGTAGAATTGAAGTTTGAAGTTTGAGAAATAAGACAAGATTAGGATTACAAAACAAAGAAAATAAGAGGTTGCCGACATAGAATTCGACATTGTAACTGCATAAGTATACTCTAATTTAAGCTAAATATGTTATGCCTATACGAAATATTAAGAAAACTGAAATGTTTCTGACCTGCCTTGACACTTAAACAATAAATAATATTACTAAGAAACACTAACAATATTATTTCTTAAGAAAAACCAGCCCTGCTCGGCTGCTCTTTGACCGAATGGAATAGTGTTACTCTAAGTATGTTTTCAGATCGTCTCTTTTTTACGTATCATATATTTCCATAAAACAACACATGATAGAATTGAGCTTTGTTATCCATTTATCAATATAAATTTGAAATGATATTGATTCCACAAAATATTGCTTTAGGTTAGACATCGGAATACGTCGTAACAGCAATCTCATTTTCTGATCTATCTTAATATGTCAAAGTCAATTTAGATTAAAAACTGTAATAAGACATACTTTAGCTTATGCCATAAAGTTCCGAAGACCGTTCTCAATTGACGCTTGTCGCTAACTCGAAAAAAGAGGGTAAATGTTATGGCTTACTGCGGAGACTATATAATAAAAACACGAGAAGACTAAATCTAGGCCAGCTGTTAGTGTTATCATGCCTGTGCTCTTTGTGTCTATATAAGACCACGTCATAGCTCATGACTACTGAGTACACTTAGTAAAGCTCAAGGTTCGTATTATCTAAGAGAACAGAGTAATCTCTGCTTACCAAGATAACCACTGGGTTCACCAAGCTAACCACTATGCAGTATGCGACGAAGCCTCTTTCGGGTATTTAGCACCAAGACTAGATTCTTAGTACTAATCAGCTGTCGTCAGGATTTAGCTTGGAAACACACGTTTCTTTGTTATCTATTGGACTAGACACTAGGATGTGGGTGAATAGTTATGAGCCATGATCTTTGTGTTATTGATCACCAAGTCTCTCCTCTCCCCTTCTCTCTCTGTGAGCTACGTTACACACAGCTATTGTGTACCGAAATTACACTAGCGTAAGCTTTACAAAACCCCCTCCCCTTGGCTGGTTAACTTTATATGTGAACGACCCCTTATAGGATGAACTGAGCTGAGAACAGCTTAAGGTTAAGATTCCGTTACCAGAAGTTATCAACCAAGTTATTAACGAGAGGGATTTCCTGGTATGGTTCTCTGGAGAGGTGAGTTTATCATTAAGACTATACGATGGGTCGATTTGAGGTATTTTCATTATCAATTAAGATACTTGATGATAATATCGGCCATGGGAAGGTAACATACATTTTCGCTTAGATTAACTAAAATTAGTCTTAAAATATATTG